TCAATCAATTAATAAACCCCATAAAATAATATGCAGGAATCACCCTTTTACTTACCCTTACAAATTATATTTTTACCAAAAATAAAATATGCCTAACTTTTAACTAAGGCAAGAAGTCATTTAAATTACACATAATCAGCAAACACAAATTAATATTCGGAGAATAGAAATAATACAGCTCAAATCAAGTCACGCAAATTTGTTAGCAATATTTTTACCATAATTAGATAAGAAGGAAGAATGCATGCCAAGATATATACATGGCAAGAGTTGATTATGGCATAAAGGATCAATCAAACCAACAAAAGAATCGGTCAACAATCACAGTAACCAAAAAAGAGGAATCAGTGAAATCTAATATTATGGCATCCAATATGGTGAGATCAACATATAAGATATGTATTTTGATTCCAAGTAAAATCTCAACAATCAAGGAAAGCCAGTGAATATGACTCTCAATCGATTAAGGCTTAAATTATGATTTTACCATACAAAAGATAATCAAGGGAGTTCGTAAACTAATAATTTTATTATATAAATGCATAAGATATGCAAACCATCGGTTCGAGTTTAGACTCAATGCAGCAAGTCATAAAACTTCACAATTTGAAGTCTAGCAGATCATAGTAGGAACAAAGAATATGAATTTGAAAAGATAATTGGCAAATCACAATAGAAAGTAATAATCACAGATTTAAATAGCAAATCGACAAATCTCAATGGAAGTAATGAATTGACTTCACTCCCACAAAATATAAGATAACAATATAAAAATATGAATGGATTAGTTTGTGTATCACCATTTTAAGATCATGCCTGAATATGATTTGCCATAGACTTAACAAAATAAAAATAAATATCACACCAAAAAATATACTAAACATGCTTGAATGTGATTTTGTCATATACTTAAGCAAGTAAAAATCACACCAAACTCAAACAAAAATGAAAGACGTTAGCCGAAAAGAGATGATAATTGAGAGAGAGGAGCGAACCTGGACGGATCTGTCAAAGATCCTTCTTAAATACATTTAAAATCCCAAAAGAAATGTCCGCCGGAGCTCGCTGCTGGTGGTCGTCGGCTGCTGCTGTTGCTGGTGACTCGCTGGTCGGAGCAGCTGGCTTTCTCTTCCTCGCTAGTTGGAGCTGCTGTTGGTGTTGCTGGCGGTCCTCGCCGGGAGTTCCGTGAGGCTGCTGCTGACACTGCTGGTCTCTAGTCGGAGTGCTGCCAGTTGCTGGAGTTGTGTCCCTCGCCAGGCACTGCTGTCCAGTTCGCCAGGCACTGCTGGCAGCCGCTGTCCAGTGCTGCTGGCAGCTGCTGGTTGCGTTGGTGGCTGCTGGAGTGTGCCTCACTGGGCGTTGTTGCTGGTTCTTGCGCTGGTCAGATCTGTCGCTGGTGGCCTCGCGGGGCTGCTAGTTAGTATGAGGAGAAAAAAGAAGCGGAGAAGAAAAAAGGAGGAGAGGGAGGTGGCGCCGGAGATGGCGATTCTCGCCGAAAGACGGAGAGGACGAAGGGGAATGGGAGAAGGGGAGGCGGTGGATTTTTAGAGAGGAAGGGGAGAATGAATAATAGGGTTTAGGAGTCTTTTAGTGTTGAAATAGGAAAGATGGAAACTTGATCTCATCCGTTGATTTAATAAGAGATGAGGGGCTAGGATTTGATCTTAGGTTTTGATTAAAAGATAGACGGTTGAGATTAAAAGATGAAAGTTTTAAAATCAGGTTGAATTGAATTTGAAGTGGCTAAAATTGAAATGAAAAGTGGCTATAATCGAAATAAAATTGGAATTGAATAGACTAGAATTGAAAGGAATTAGTATAAAATCGACTCAATTTTAAATGATTTTGAGGAAAACTAAAGAAATGTTATTTAACTAAATACTACACAACATTATAACTAAAATTACTTAAAAATTTTAAAACGTTTGAATTATTTCGAGTTTTACTATAATTTTAAAATATTTTAATAGCATTTACAATAATTTTTATAAAGTATGCATACTAAATATATAATTTTTAGACAAAATCGATTAAAATTTTAAACTCGACATATATTTGAATATACGTATTTAATCGAATAGCATTCCTAAAAAGGGTTAAAGGTCGGTCAAAATTGGGTGTCAACAGTCAATAAGGTACTGGTACCAAGGACAGAGAAGAGAACTGTAGTATTTGGTGCTGACCTATTTATCATGGAAAAGGTGGATGAACTCGAGGAAATCAATCTCTCTGCTATAATGCTTGAACATATGCACAGGGTGATGACTTGGAAAACAGCCAAATATTGCATCCCTTATGGCTACTTACTAAACTATGTGTTCAAACATTTTGAAGTGTCTTTGGGGAGAGGAGTACCTGGTACCACCAAGAAAATGTTTATTGTTGTTACCCTGGTAGAATGTGAATGTATTGAAGGGAAGGCCAAGGGTAGGTCTAGGGTAGAAGATCTCCTAGAGCAGCAGACTTCTCTCAAACGAGAACTGACTGATCTAACAGTGGTCCTCAATGACAAGGAGGTTGAGATTGCGCAACTTAAGTCTCAGTTGCCGAAAGTTGTCTCGAATGGACCGGGTACTAGTGGTGTGGATGAGCAAGTAATGCAGAAGTTGAAAGCTGAGAACGAACAACTGCTGAAGACAAATGCCTCACTCAGTGAGGAAGTCAAAGCTCTCAACAAGCAAGTCATTCAGGTTCATGAGGCTGCAAACGAGTGGATGTCCTTGCTAATGCGAACCCTTACTCCTCTTCCCCCTCCATCCTAAACGAGTCTTGTCTCCCTGGTTTCTTCATCCTTATGTCAAAACTCTAATGGCTATGTGTACTGTTTGGGGTGATTCTTGTGGTCAGCTTTAGTGATCTAATGCTATTTGTTATTATGCCATGTTCAGTATGTTTTTCTATTCTCTTTTATTCTTACTTGTGCATGCTCTGTGTGGACCATGGCCTTGAATTCTTAAATGCCTTGCATACAACTTGCATATGTTTACTGCTATTCCTTTTCAATGATGTCAAAGGGGGAATTGAAGGTGAATTGTGTTGTGAAATTAGAAGGGAACTGAACTAAGGGGGAAGAACAGTGACAGAGGGAATTAATGTATCTTTGAATGAATGCTTAACACTCATGTGAGGCTCTGCATGTAGATTGTTTGTCATCATCAAAAAGGGAGAAATTGATAAGTCTTAATACTCCCAGATGTTTTGATGATCTCCTCACAAGTGCAGGGACTCGGTCCTCTGCAGAGTATGTTCATCCAGGACCATATGCTATACAGCTGGAAATTGTCCGCATCAGAAGTTGGTGAGGTTGTCAGAGTACTGCACCAACCAGAAGGGACGAAGTTGTTTGTCCAATGGGTATTAACTCTTAATGTTTGATATATTCAAGACAACAAACAACAAATCATTTCATTCATTCAAGTGAAGGAGTCTAAGGTCGATATGCTTACGATTTAATATGAGAACTTCTGTATGAAGGAAGGTGAAACCATTCACGAGATGAATTCAAGGTTCACTTCCATAACCAACGAACTGAGATGTCTTGGCGAGCCTATTCCACCAAGCAAACAAGTTCGAAAAATTCTCAAAGTGCTTCCTAAGTCATAGGAGAGTAAAGTGAATGTTATAACTGAAGGAAAAGATCTGAAGGTGCTCACCATGGATGAACTGATTGGAAATCTTCAAACCTACGAGTTGAATAAACAACAGGGGTCAATCATGAAGGAGGGAAAGAAGGAGAAATCAGTGGCCTTGAAAACATCTTCAAACGAAGACTGAGGAGGATGATGAAATGGCATACATCACTAGAAGGTTCCAAAAGATTATCAAGAAGCACAGAGGCTTTCAAAAGAAGGGTTCGACCAGTAGAGAAGCAAATGCAAATGATCTATGTCATAAATGTAGCAAACCTGGTCATTTTATGAGGGATTGTCCAAGTCAGACCTCGAAGAAGGGACCAGGTCCTAGACTATGCCAAAAGAAAGGCTCATGATGATCAACTAGTGAACAAAGCTTTTGCTTTCTGGGGAAATGCATCCAGCGAATCCGAGGAAGAGGGAGACAGCTATGAAGATGTGTCGATAATGGCTGTGAAAGATGATGAAGTTGTGTTCAATTCTATTTTATCACTAATGGCACAATCTGACGATGAAGAGAATCAGGATGAGGTAACCCTTTTTTATCTCAAAAATTATCTAGAAACTTTTTCAATTAAAAGATTGAGAAAACTTGTTATTGTATTAATTGACTCAGTTGATGAACTAATGTCTGATAAGCTGATGATAAGTAAAAAATTGAGCTTATGCAAGGATGGGAATGCAGCTCTTAACTCTCAAATGTCTGAAATGAGTGTTAGGATAAGTTTTCTAGAGACTGATAGTTTGCATCCCATCGAGGAACCTGGTACCTCTGAGGGTGGGAAGCGAAAACTCAATAACTTTGAGATTGAGCTAGAAGAGAAGCTGAAGACCTTTGAGTCTAAGTTAGTTGCCTCCCTTGAAAGAAACTCTCAATTAGTGCAGGATTTATGTAAGATCAAAGAAGAGTTAAACCACTCCCTCAAATGGACTGATTCGTATAAGATACTCTCTAACTTAGCAAATCAGAAGTTCAACAGCAAAAAGGGGTTAGGTTGTAGACAAATAGAGCCTCCCTACAATCCCCACAATAAATATGTGTCTGTCTCTGACAATCTTTTGTGTACCCATTGTGGAAGAAATGGTGATGTGAGATATGTCGTGGTTTTACTCCCTTGAGCAAGGAGGTTTTCACGTAAAGTACGTGTGTCATCTTTACTTTCTGTACTTATTTTATATTCATTATAATTGTGTTGAGGACCTGGTCCTATCGTACTTAGTGGACGCAAACATTCCAATACATGAAACAAGAAATTGTTTCAATATTTGATTTTAGGGTGAGTCTCTTAGGATGACAACTCCATAGCAAAGCATCCACAAGTGTTGGGTACTTTCCGCTGGACAACTCTATATATAAAGTTAAATCGTTCACTTTGGGGTTGCAACTGTATGGTGCAGTACCAAATCGTTTGTGTTGATCTCATTGCATTCCCAAAATCTAAGGAAAACTAGAGACCAAGAGGTCGACTTTGATAGAATTTCCCTCAACTCACCAAACCATGCAACATTCAAATTTTTCAACCTATGATGACTTATTCGTGAATTTTTCAATTGGTGAGACTCTTTTGCAATTTTAAGCTGAGGAATCAAATCTCCATCATACTCGAGTGATACCAAATTTGGAGCATCAATCTCCCATAATCCATTACAATTGTCAATAGTCAAGAGCTTTAGGGATTGACTCCCACAAATTTTGAACCTTTCCAACCTTGTAGAAACGTTAACTAATGCCAAATTCTCAAGGAATTGAGATGTAGAAATAAGGTGTTGGAGAAATCCTTCAGATATCCACATATCTGCTAGCTGTAAAAATTTTAGATTTTGACATTCTACAATGTCCAATATAGGGGATTTTTTCCAACAACACCCAAAATAAAACAAGTGTTGTAGAGTTGGTGCTTGGATTTTAACACTCTGGTTCTCGTAGCAACTAATAGAGACTGACTTGATATTTTGAAGATTCTGCAGCTCAATATTTGTCAATGAATGACAATGCTCAATGATGAAATCATCAATCAAGGGACAACAATTGAGCATTGCTCGAAGCATGTTGTCGTCTAATTGAACTTGAGTTAGAGAAAGCTTTCTCAAAGAATGAGAGCTTGCAAGTTGAGTAGTAGTAACAGTAGATAATGAATGAACCATGAGATTACATCCTAAGAGAACCAATTGTCTTGAAGAATTTGTTGTCAAGAATGTGAAAATAGGGAAGGGGTATGAGGGTTCATAAACCTCACAAGTTAAATCTTTTATACCATTCTGAAGAGGAATGCGGAGCCACTTATCTATCTGAGGAAAAACAATACGACAATGAAACACAGGAATTGAAATAGAAAGTTGAAACTTTTCAATAGGGGTTTTTGTTTGGCAGTATCTCTCCATGACTTGATCCACTATTTTATCATCGCCTAGACCATAAGGAAAGGCGAATTCCAAGTTGGGATGAGCTAACCAAGCCTGTAGCCATGTTTTCGAGACAAGGCTCAACTTGGCTGCTTCTTGAAAACTAAGGTAAGACAATATTTTGTGAATGACGCACACAGACAATACGTTCATGCTAGTCATGACTGCAATCTGATACAGTGTCTATGGAATTCTATGGAATTTATATAAGGGAAAAAGGACAAATATACCTCCGAACTATCGTAAATGGTATGCAAATACCCTCCGTTATAATTTTGGGACTTTAATACCCCTGTCGTCCAAAAACTAGAGCATATATCTCCATTCGTATAAAGGATATATATGCTCTAGTTTTTGGACGGTAGGGGCACCAATGTCCCAAAAGTATGACGAAGGGTATCTGCATACCATTTACGATAGTTCGGAGGTATATTTATCCTTTTCCCATTTATAGAATGCAAATATTATAATCCTTTCCTAGCTCGAATTGGAAATAAAGAAAACTAAGCTGAATCCTTTCCTAGCTAGAATTGGTTAAGGTTCTTTTTTTTTGTTGTTGTTATTTTAGTTAATCGATTAAGGTCTTAGGTATTTTAATTGTAGAAGGAATCTACTTTTCCAAGAATTAGTTCTTAAACTATAAACCCTGACCTCATTCTGAAACCAACTAATATGTGGAAATCTCTTTTTTCCTGTAACAAAGTCTCGTCCCTTCAAAACAGTATGTGGTTTAAATCCAAGCTAGTGACTTATAACAGCTAAAATTATTGCAGCGACTACAAAGTAAAATTACGTGCAAGGCACAACTTTTGATGTGATAATTTTTTTGATCCAAGCCAGTTATCAGTTTCAAAACAGTATGTTATTTTTATGTCTTTATGTATAATGTAGCTTCTTTATCGTGCACTGTGAATTGCTATCAAACTAGATGCAGAACTCGAGCTTGCTCTTAAATTTCCATAATATTCATTCAGATTATGTCAACAACTGTGAATTCTAGACAATGGAAAAGGGAAAGAATTGGTTTTTTTGAATGTATGTGGAGTATTTAACTTCAGTTCTTCGATGCACCGAAATATTAGGATCCTAAAATCGACAACCAAACCAAAAAATCAAAATTGAAGAAAGCAAGTACTGAAAAATCTTTGGTGAATACTAGATTTTCTCACCAATCAATAGAGTTTAAATTGCTTATAGAAGCCACAGCTAGCTCTAATCCATTTTCAAGTATAGAAGAGCAAAAATAAACTTTCTTCATACAATTTTCTATCAAGAAGCCTAGTTTCAACAACATAACTAGTGAAATCCTATAGGTGGGGTCTGGGAGTGTAGAGTGTACGCAGACTTTATCCTACCTCATGGAGGTAGGGTAGATGTTTCCGAAAGGCTCAGACAACACATATCAATGAAGATTTATGAGAGAACATAAGTAATGAAGATATCGCCAATAATAGATGTCAAGAAGCCTGGTTCAAGAGTCTGAAATCAGCATAATCTACTAAAAGGTCCGGGCAAAATCACTTACAGATAAAAGTAAATAAGAACTAGCCATAAACAAAGTATATATAATGCTTTATATCATAAGTTTTCTTTTCTTCTTCTCCGCATTCATCCTTCCCATCAGCATACATACAGTAAATCTTATCATTCATTTGAGTTAACTCTGGTTGCTGAACTGGTTCTGTGACTCATCAATTCCACCCAAAATTTCATTGCACTTTTGGAAAAGGTCAGCCAGTTGAAGTGACAAATCTGAAGTGCTAATGGCACTGAGATTTTGTTGATAATGACTCTTCCATCCCTCATCCATGGAATATTTTGCATTAATGGCCACAACAGTCTCATCCAGACAGTCAACTTTGTGCTTATACTGAATGCTAGAAGAAACGGGACTTGAAGCACACAAGATTTCAGAAAGGACCACTGAACTGTTTTCAGAATCAATATTGACTTTTACATCAACCTCTGGATAGTCACAAACAATGGACTTAGTATCTGTGTTACTTTTGAGAAATGCCTTTTCTTCTACATCAGCCCTGCATTTTGAATTTTCCTTGGGTAATGGCTTCATCTCAGTATCGAACTGCAAAGGCAACTCTTGGAATGACATATGATGTGGTTCACTTTTAAACGATTGAATGTCATCAAAACATTCTCCCATTAACTTTTCTGAACCATCAAAGTCTATTAAGTGGTAGTTCACGTCAGAGTTGAACAAGCTTCTACTTTGGACTGCATAGTCATATGCAGCCTGAGCATTACACTTGTTCAGAAATACAATCTGACATGTTGCTGAACCCCACGAAATACGGAGTGCTGATTCATCAAATGGCCCAAAATATCCAAACTTGGCTTTTAATTCTGAAGCAGTTGGAAGCATAGTTTGAGGAGAGAACTTTATTACCAGCATAGTTGGTTCAGCTTTCCATTCAGGCTCCTCAGTGAACTTCTTTTCAGACTCCACTGACAATGTTGATTGGATGTCAACGTCATCCCCTTGGAGTGTCCAAAGTGTTTGGTCACCATATTTCTTTGTCATATGCAAGGACTTGAAGCCCCTCAACTCTTCTTCGTCTTGGCAATTGAAGAGCGTCTGCTTTTTGTTAGTCTTCTCATGTTCATCTGGAAAATAACTCTCTTCGTAAAAAGTTGATGGGGATTGCTTCAAATGCTTAATTGCATCAGTAACATTTCCTAGTTCTGCTCCATAGTCATTAAGCTCGTTATGTTTCTCAGTTTCTTCACCTGATTTTGTTACTAGATGGTCAAAGAAGGCATCCATTCGGAACTTGCCTTCACGACCCTGGTCATCTGGTGGAGACTCTTCCCTCCTCTTCCTTTTAGTTTCTCTTTTACATGACTTCTTGGAGGAATCCCCTTGATATTCAAACGATTTGGCCCCATCTTTCGATACAGATGCATCAAAAGGAAAGGAACAACAAAAAAATAAATCAGTGTGTTCTCTATTTAAATATGGAATACTAGTGTTTATCTAGGATAATAAATAGGCAATAGAATGCACGATAAATCTGTAGAAACAAACATTTGTCCAATTGAGTGAGCACTTAGGAGGAGACAACCAAAACAAACTGACCATGAGAATGAAATTTTGGATGATGCACTGATGGAAAAGCTGAAAGCACAAACAGGTATGGTGTATGCACACTATTTTACCTTGTGAAGTATTGTATTCAAGACACCTAAGGGCTAGGAAAGACGTGTCAATCGACAATTAGATTATTTTCATAACAGAATGGCAGCAACATTTGTTGGTTTTTGGCCAGATGTTGGTCTTACTTTCCAATGACCGACAGAACAAGCACATCAAAGTTTATAGCTCGCCATTATACGTAGGTCGACTCCTTTTAACATCCACTTTATGCTTCAGAAAAGTTCTATTTGTAAGGACAGTAAAATTCAATGTGCCGTTATACATAGGTCTCCTTCTTTTAACATCCACTTTATGCTTCAGAAAAATTCTGTTTGTAAGGACAATAAAATGCAACGCCCACCCAAGCTTGATTACATCTATACAACTACATACTCTAGATGTAGCCTGTAGGTGACCTATTTAGTCATCTGAATCTTCTCAGGTGATGCAATTAAAAAGAGGATTTGTTCCTGGCATAAACAAAAAAAACACACTACTACAATGGTCTAGAAAACAAATCATACAGTATGAAATATTACCGGTACATTGATTTCCGTCTTTCGAAAATTCTACAGGATCCTCTGAGCTTGAGGCTTTCACTCCAAATGTCTGAACATAGGTGTCAACACCTTTTTCAAATTCATCAAATGCCTGATCATAAGTGTCATCATTCTCTTCAAAAACCGCTTTTCTGTAAGTAGTAACCTTTGCAATGTTAATTATCCCATAAACACTATTTGGCAAAGATCTTGGAGACATGGCCAACTTCTTTACAAATGAAAACATCCCATGTGGATGAAAACCATCTCTAGATTTTTTAATCAGCTTTGATGAATAAATGGTCCCAGGTGCATACCCGCTCACATCAACTTTATAAAGTCCTTCAATTCTTGTAGGCTGAAAATTACCCAGGCAGGAACAAGTCAAGCCAAGTACTGCTCTCTTTTTCAGCTCATCAATAGCTTCTTCAACAGCCACAAAGAAAGTTTGAATTTTTGACTTGTTTGACTTCTCCTCAAAATGAGGTTCAAAAGGGATAATTTGATTATGATCAAGCCATGCATAACTATAATCACCATAAAAGGCAACGAGAACTGAACCATCTCTCTTGGCATCGCATACTGGAGAAGGTATTAGACTCTCGTCGTATATTTGTCCTGGCCACCAGGGATGAGACATTACCTTTCCCCAAACAAGGTCTCCAACTCCAAATATATTATTTGATTCTTCTTCTTTTAAGGAAGTTAACCTAAACTTAACCAGACTGTACATATCCATAGAGCCAGGTCCTGTTCCTTTTGACTTGTCACTTTCCATTTTCAGTGAACTACAGAGAAACAAAGAATTAGAACTTCCTAATATGATAACTTACCATCCTTACTTAAATAACACATATGGAGTGGTTTAGAGAACAAGAAAATTGAAACCCTTTAAACAAGTGACAGAATCCCCCAAAAAAACATTAGGAGTGGTTTCTTACAGAAATGCATGATCACAAAATTATGAAAAACAAACCTTACTTGCATTCAAGTCTAAACGAAGAATATATGCTCAAATAAACAAGAAATACACAACACCCTCACACACATACACACATTTTGTAACTTCACCAAAATGCAAGACTAAGATATCCACACAAGAAAGCTACAGAATCACATTACAGAACTATGTAAACCAAACCACAAGGCCCAATTTAGCACTTCCACTGTAAAAAAAATTCTGACAATAGAACAGCAAAAAACATCACATTTACAACCAAGAAAACCCTTAATCCCAATTCTAGAGCACTTCCAGTATACTGTAGTTTTTCTTCCTCAGACATCAACGATAAGAAAAAAAAATAAGAGTAAAATGCTAAATAACAGAAAAAGAAGAGCTTTTTTAAACAGTGTCTATTAGCCATTTGCAGAACACCAAGACGATGAAAAATCAAAGCAAGAGGTGGGCCAAAAACAGAAGAAAAAGACCCCCAACAAGCTTAGATAGCTTAATAGAAGCAAAATTTGGCAAC